TCTTCGCTCCAGATTCATATTTTAATCGTAAACTATACATTCTTACTCAAGCATGGCTTCTCTCTGAACCAATTCCTATGCCTAAGGGAAAATGCTGACACTCAGTTCGAATAAATAATTAAAATTTCCCATACATCTTATCTAGTTTAAATCATACAACAATATATGCGAGTAACCTTATTAAATGTGTTCTACAATGTCAAAGAGAAAAATGGTGTTTACATTAACTCACCAGAATGTACAGAACTAGACAATCATTTCTCCACAAGTTTCTTTTGCCTTGCAGAGGGTTGAAGACCTTAAAACTGGAAATAGAATCACATTGAGCGGGTTATTGCTAGGTTCGGGTTGCAAGGTGCAAAGTCGGTAGTGACTCCATTGGCTCCACATTTCAGGCTCTCTGGTAAACAATCTCTTACTACAGCGTAAGAAAAGGTACGCACGGATCGTGTACCTTATACTAGTGCAGTTGGCAATTTGATGTATGCCATGATGTGTACACGTCCAGATATTTCACAGGCGGTTAGTGTGGTCAGTAGATTCATGGTGAATCCGGGGAAGGCACACTGGAAAGCTGTGAAGTGGATCCTGAGGTACTTAAAAGGTACCGTGGATACAGGTTTATGTTTTGGTGGAGATGCATATATAAGTGGGTTTGTGGACTCGAATTATGCAGGTGATTTAGATAGACGACGATCTACTACTGGATATGTGTTTTGCATACATGGTGCCCCAGTTAGTTGGCGATCGATGTTACAGGCTACAGTGGCTCTTTCTACCACAGAGGTCGAGTATATGGCCATGGCAGAGGGAGTGAAGGAAGCATTGTGGTTGAGGGGTCTTCTAGATGATTTGGGGATTGAGCAGGATTGTGTGGACTTGTGGTGTGATAGCCAGAGTGCGATTCACTTAGCTAAAAATCAAGTTCATCATGCTCGAACCAAGCATATCGACGTCAGGTATCATTTTGTGCGTGATGTCATAGAGGAAGGTGATATTTCTATCTTGAAGGTACACACAAATGAGAACCCAGCAGACATGTTAACCAAAGTGGTAACGGGTAGCAAGTTTCAGCATTGCTTGGACTTGCTTCACATTAGTCCGTACTGATATGCCCGAGTGGGCATGGCTCTTCAAGGCGGGGTTGAAATGAGGTGAAGAGTATATGAAGGTGGAGGTGAATTACGGAGGCTTGATCTCGAGTTTTGGGTACGTAGGCAACCATGATTTGAATGGTGCAGCCGAGTTTGGCGCTTACTGCTTCTTCTTGTGTTCGTCCAAAATTTGAGGTCTGTCAAATAATGTACGATGTGGAGAATTGTGGGAAAATGAGAAGCAAGGGAGGGCGCCATGTTCTGCTGAAGCAGAAACTGGGCGCCTAGGTGCCATGAGTGGACACCTAGGTGACCAACCGGGCACTTAGGTGCAGAAACTTGGCGTCTAGGCGCCTATGTTTAAGCTATATATATAGCTGTTTTTCTCTTCATTTATAATCCGGTTTTTGAGAGAAAAAATAGAGAGAGCTTGAATAGAATTTAAAAAGAAAGAGATTGTTCTTCTTAGGTATAAATTCAAAGCTATTTTTTCTTTCTTGGGGATTAACTTGAGGTTTGTTCAAGTAATCCAATCCATTGTTCATCATATATATTGAAAATCATTTCTTCCCCAATTTTTCTTATCTTTCTTTTCATCTTCAAGTGGTTTGGAATTTTCACATTGCAAGTTTGTTTGTTCTTAGGCAATATTGGGAGGTGCTTCTTCCCAACACCATGTCACACATTGATAAGCTTCCTTCAAAGAAGCACCGAAACATCATGTCAGCTGCCCCAGTGGTTATTCTCTCGAGTTGGTCTACATGTACAGAAATTTAAGTGTACAGATGTTGTACAGAATACACACATCAAAGGGGGGTGGGTGATTTTTTTGGCAATAAAATATTCATGTGGGGTCCACCGTTTGTGAGACTCTGTACACATTCTGTAAACTTAAAATTCTGTACACTCAGAATTTTTGTATTCTCTCATCTCTCTCTTGACTTGTCCAGTTGTCCCTATATTTCCAATGTTGTTTTCGCAAATTGTGCATTTGTGTGAATTGGTGTGCGTCTTTTGAAGGGAGGGAGAACTTGTTGAAAATGTGGCATCTTTCTTGAAGGGTTTTTATAGAGCAAAGAATAATAAGCAGTGTTCTAAAATACTTAATGTGTGGCGATATATGGAAGCCAAGCTATGGACTAGGCGATAAGCGTAAAAGGGCATTTTTTTATTTTAATATTATTTTAATTTTTAATTAATCAAAAAATCATTTAATAATTAAAAATAATACCCCCCAAACATTTAATACAAATTTATAGGAATTTTATACATTTTTTTAAAGTTTCTAACAAAAAGATAAATTTCAAATATAAATACTAAATACTAAATAAAAAGAAAATTTTGGGAGCTTTCCTTTGTTCAAGATTTCAACCAATTTTTTTTGAATTTTGGGCAGATGAAGTGAAGAAATCAACTTTTAAGTTTTAAATTAAAAGAATTGTAAATAAAAAAAAATTTTAAAAAGAAAAAAATATAATAATGATCATCTAGGCGCACATAATCATGCCTAGGCATGCATTAGTGGTCAATGATTGCCATTGACCACTAAATAAGGAGTCAAGCCACTTGGCTTGGCACTTCCACCACACATCGCACCTTGGCGTGTCTTTTAAAACATTGATTATAAGTAACCTTAATTTGATAGAAGAATTGAAGCAGTGCTCAAGCGTCAAATTCGAGAGAGTTCTTTCAACAATTAATTAGCTTCGCTCTTTGTTGGATAAAAACATTTTCCAAGGACAAATTTTTCGAGAGAGACAGAAGGGGCTACAAGACGAGAAGCTGAAGAATAACAAGGATCACTTGATTCTTTTGTCCTTTTGTTTTGGACCTTTCAGGGCATGTGGTTGTTGCATTGTCTATTCTGGTGAAGAGAATGCTGCCATTTTAATATTTTGCGTGTGATTGCAAAACTTGCTCCTCTATTCCAAGAATCTTGTTCTCTGTTGTAACTTCTTTCGATTTTTTTATTCATGGATCCACCACTGATGTGATATGGAGAATTAAATATTGCTATAAGGTTTTCATTGTGATTTTTAGCTAAGTTATTCGAGCTTCTCGAAATTTTTTTTTATTGTTTTGATCAATGTCGTTTGTCCACTGGAATATCTCTGTATGTAACTAAATCTATTTGTCAGCAATACTGAACAATTGTTTTTTCAAATAATATAAAGAACAGTACTGAAAATTTAAAATCTTGTCAACATCTGGAAATTGGTTATTAGGTTGTGGGTTAATTAGTTTGATCTTTCCAATTTTGTTCAATAATCATTCTGCTTGAATTGTCTCTGCCTCTCTTTATCGAGTAACAAGGATCATTGCATCCTCAATCTTGGAAATCTGTCATCCTTTATACATTGAGAATGTTGCATTATTGGTCCGAAACCTTTGAAAAGGACAAGTTGGTTCTCAACTTTTCATACTAGTTACGCAATTAGTCTCTAGTAACGGAACCGTACAAATCACAATTTTATGGTCATGCCTCGTGAGAACAAGCCACACTTCAATTGTTGGGGACCAATTCAATTTGAACTTGCATTCCTGCCTACTTAGCATACTGACAGGGAAACGACCAGAAGATTTTCTAATTAAAAACTCCTCAAATCACTCAAATTACTTGTCAGACCAAGATTCAGTAATTTGGAGAAAATGACTATCCGATATTAACTGCTAATTGTTCCATATTAGTTAGTCTAGAGAATTTCAGGGCGTTGTTCATCTCTACTAAGTGGAACAAATTATTAATGAAAAACAAAGGAAACTATCTTTATGCAGTATAAACACTTCAAATGTGTTCTTGTATTCCCCCACCATTTTGAAAATTGACAACCTTCACATGTAAGATCCTAGAAGAACGTATTGGTGAAGAGGAAAAATGCCCAGGTGTCAGATAAGAGGGGAAGTCGCGAGGAAGTGCCAACATTGATATATTCATCATACCAGCTGCCAACAAAATTTTACTTCGACAAAACTGAGGTTAACAGTCAAAATATAAGAAAAGGCATTTCCATTTTGTCATATCCATAATTTTAATCATAAACTCCTAATTCTTACATTTTCACTCTGCATCTTCCCAATGTGAAAGGGCAAAGCTAAAAGTTTTATCTTTCAAACTTTTATGAAGAGAAATATTTTGAAAAACTCGATGCTAACGCATTAGTATAGTAAAATATCAGTAACCGTAGTAAAAATATTAAATTTTTTTGCAATGTAGGAGAGAGGAAATCATGTTTACATTAACTCAACAGAATGTAAAATAAAAGACAATCATTTCTCTACAGGTTTCTTTTGTTTGGAGGATTGTTCAAGACTAAAAGACTGGAAAAATAATATTCAAACCTAACCACCTTGTAAGCTTTTTTACAATGTACTCAGTTGCAATTACAACCTACCTGAATCCTCATTGCTATGCTCGTTACTTCTAACGGATGAATCACCAAAGTAAGAAGAATGAGAAGAGATAGTGGAAGCTGATACGGAAATTAAGGAACATTTATTCCACAATTCTTTTTTGGGGAACGAAACGTTCCTCCTACGTGAAACAGCATTTGAGCAGGCGGCCTTCTGTTTGTGCAGTGCACACGTGCAATTGCGATGATATGGCCTCCGCTCAATATCCATGTCATACATTGATAAGCTTCCCTCAAAAGCATACTGAAACATCAGGTTAGCTGCTCTGGCGGCCATTTTCTCCTCTCTCTATCTGCTAGTCTCCTAAAATTCCTAATGTGTTTCCAATTTTGTGTTTTCTGTGAATTGGCGTGCGTCTATTGAAGAGAGGGAGAATTTGTTGACAATGTGGCATGTTTCTTGAAGGGTTTATATAGTGCAAAGACTTATACTTCGATGATTAGAACAATGGTAGTGTATAGGATTAATCAAGATTCAGAAGATTTAGCGTTAAACTCAAGAGAAGCTAAGTCTGGAATTGTTTTTGCCACAAGTAGCTTTGCTCTTTGTTAGAAATAAGCTCTTTTTCCTAGGGAAGTTCAGATTCCTAGTTGTGGGGCCTAAAAGAGAATTAAAAATAACAGAAAAGATGCAGTGGAAGTGAAATTCTGGAATTACAAGGAAACCTTGGTTTTAGGCTTTTAGTTTTTCTTTGTTTGCACCTCTCAGGATATGCTTTTTGCATAGTTTTTTCCGGTGTGCCATTTTGTCGGAAAACCCATTTTTACAAATTAATAAAGGATCTTGTTTATTCTGACCTCTGTTACTTCGTCTAAGTTCGTTGGTGATATATACATTGGAAATTCAGAAATAAAATATGTTTTGAAGTACTTTACCACTAAAAATAAATAAATTCTACTCTGATAAATATCGCAGTGCCGTCTTGTGGAATATTCTCCCTTGCATAAATTTTCTTTGAAATAAGAACTAAACTACTTTACTCAAATTTTTTTGACATAATGGTTTACATCTTCTCACATGCACGTGGGTCTCACGTGAATAAAAAAATCCAAAAAAGAAGTGCGCTCCCTCCCATTGTGAGTATTGGTCTGCCATTATGTCAAAAACATTCGGGTAGCATAGTGCACAATTGTTGAAATAATATATTTAATAGTCATACGATGTACGTTTGATGAGATACAGATGTAGAATCTTCTAGACAAAATATATCACCCCTTCGGTTCCCTACTCATTGTTCTTCTTTAGAGAATTTGTTCTTTCCCATTAAACCATGGAATCTCTTGTGAGATCTCTTTATGTCAACCACGGAAATTATGATCTTTGTCAAATGCAACTGTGAAATTTTCGTATATTGTCATATTGGTACAATATCTCATGTTATTTTTGCCCTATTTGGCCCCCATTTTCAAAAAAGCATTTTTTTCTTATACTCATTTTCAATCACACATTTCATGATATCCATATTTATTATTAACTTTTTAACCACATATTTCATAAATTTTTTTATCAACTTTTATCAAAATTTAATAAAAAAATTAATTTTTAGCTATATCAGACAGGGGATTTATGTTTTCAATTTGCGTCCTTCAACTACGTCTGTAAAGAGGAATTTGACAAAAAGAGAGAGTATTACTATTTTCTTGAATCAGCAACCCTTGCTTCAACTTGATCTTATTTTCCTTTATTAGCATAGACTTTTCATTTCAGCTTTAACTCTCCCTATCTTTGGTTCGTCGTTGTCTTAATATTTTCACTTACATTTAGCTTGAGTTGTCCCTTGCGTGCCGCTTCCTTTATAGACAGTTTGATTATTACTTGTTTTCGCATAGTGTTCTTAATCATTGGAAAAACTGTCGTTCTTTGTATATAGATTTGCAAACGGGTTTTATTAAAGACTTCGATAATGGTGTAGTAAATTTTGATTTCACAGTTTTTCATTTTGTCATCACATTCTTGGTTAATGTACTGTTCCTGGATAATTGTGTCAGCCGTGTTGAAATTAATGACTGTTTACTAAAGTCCCTATTTGATTTTTAATAAAAATCAATAAAATATATGGTTGAAGAATTGATAAAAATTAAGAGTCACATAAAAAAAGTGATTAAAATAAAATAAAATAAAATTTAAATGAGTTTTAAAAATTGTGACCAATCATGGGCTAAATATATGGCTTTAAATATTTGCTGAAGAGAATGCTTAAAGATCGAATTAACAAGGTAACGACAATTTTGTGAGTATATTTTATGAATGGTCATTGAACGTTCAGCTAAATTTCATGGGGTCACTAAACTTTAATTTGTCGCAATTGAATTATTGGACTCCAATTTAGTTTCAAAATTTCGTAAACTGATACTAATTATAACATGAAAATCAGTTTGCAGAAAGCACTATATTGTGGCTTTGCTACCTAGTTATCGGACACGGAAATTTATCTTACCAGGTTATGTACATTCTATAAGCATTAAGAAAGTAAACAATTTTTTAAGAAGTCAGTGTGTACTGGCAATATGCATTTTAATTTCTTCTCAATAAACGATAAGAAATCATTAATCATCTGTTCATTAACTTACCAGAATGTACAGTTAAAGTTACTCAGGAAAATGTTAACCTGAAGGAATATTGCTGGATGACTTAAAAACTGAAAAAAGAATCAAACCAGCTCCTATAGACTTGACGCACTCACTACTTCTAACTGATGAATCAGCAACATAAGAAGATCGAGACGAAACCGTGGAAGCTGATACGGAAATTAAGGAACATTTATTCCATAATTCCTTTTTGAAGAATGAAATATTCTTTGCCATGTGAAACAGCATTTGAGCAAGTGGCCTTCTGTTTGTGCAGTGCACATGTGCAATTTCGATGATATGGCCTCCGCTCAATATCCATGTCGTACATTGATAAGCTTCCATCGAAGACATGATGAAACATCAGGGCAGCTGCTCCAGTGGCCATTTTCTTATCTCTCTTCAATTGTCTCCGAAATTTCTTATATGTTAATCCAAATTTGCGTGTTTGTGTGAATTGTTGTGTTTCTATAGAAGTGAGGGATAATTTATTAAAATGTGGAATATTTCTTGAAGGTTTATATAGAGCATGGGATCGCACTGCAATGGTAAGAACTATTGTAGTGTAGCAGTTTCCCACATTCTCGAGAAGAATTAGTTGCGTAAAATTCGAGAGAAGTTCAGGAGTTTCTGTAACTATGAAGTGATTTTGATCTTTGCTAAAAATAAGCACATTTTTCTAGGAATCTTAATTCATAGGCGTGGGCCCTGAAAGGAATAAACAAGAGAGGTCAAAAAAGGAGGTATAAGAGAAGGGAATTTCAAGAATGACAAGGATCACTTGGTTTTTTCCTTATTTTGTTTAGATCCTTAGGAAAAGTAGTCGTTGCATAGTTTACTCCGTTTATGGAATGCCTGAAATTTAATGTTTATGCACACGAAGCAAAAAAGTAGTATTAAACGAACAATAAAAAAACATGATCCTTTTTTAAAGAAATACTCCAATGTGGTAATTATTGTCTATCTATGTTAATTATGTTATTAAATTATTTACAAAGTTTGTTTTCAACTCATATATTTGTAGTAAGATCAGGAAGTTGACCAGAAGGTAAATTTTATCAATAATTCATTTTACTGTCTAACCAAAATTACTCTCTCTCTCTCTCTCTCTCTCTCTCTCTCTCTGTGCTTATTATTTAGAACTAAATCCATCCCACTTGGACACGGATAAATAGGTTGTTTAACAATGCTTTTAATAAAAAATTTAGTAGATTTTAATAAAAGTTGATGAAATGTGTGGTAGAAAAATTAATAAAAGTTGTGGATCTCCTGAAATGTATAAGTAAAATTTATTTTTGACTTTAATCTGAACTTTTCAAGTTATCCCAAACAAACAATTATGGAATTTGCTATAGGCATATTGGCAGTCATAATGTCACACAAAATTCTAACCTTTAAAGTAAGTTATGGAACAATATATGTTTTTTCCCAGACAGCTAATAGAATGTTAGATGGATGAGTGTCAATTTAAATAATTCGGGCAACTTCAATAAGTCTGTTAGATGTACCTATTAGGAAAAATGACGAGATTAGTACAAGTACCACCTCTAAAGAAGTTAACTCGAAATTATTTAAGAAGTGATATTAAAAAAATTAAAACTTGTTCGTTTTCTTGACTTTGAATTCAATAGAATAAAGTTCAAAGATTTATTAGTCATAAGTATTAGATAATGTGAGATAATGTTTTAAAAGGTTAAACCCTAACCTTAAGAGTCCCCCACCACCCCTGTCCTGGAGTATCGTGAGGGAGGTAAATCGCAGGTTATGCCTCCAATGGTACAGGGTGGAAGGCTGCTTGTACACTTGCACTTACCCAAGAGCTAAATCCATATTTCAGGATTCGAACCTTTGACGCAGCAGCCTCAAGCAAAGTTGGATTTTTCCATCCTCCCCTTTTACCACTTGGAGATGTGCTCTGGGGGCAATTTAAGATAATGTTTTGCTACGACAGTAGGTGGTTCGCTGTTCTGGCTTAATTTGGCAACCTTATGTACATTGGAAGAAGTCCAAGTAGCATGATTTTAAGAATAATAGGTATTCGGCATATTTACTATTAAAAAGAATATTTTGAACTCTCAATGAAGAATGTTTGCATTGCAACTCCCCCGTATGGATTGCCAAACATGATTGGTATGTAGCCTATCAATCATATACACTATGACATATATTAGGTATATGGTACTAGACAAGTGGACATGAAAATACCGTACTATGGTTAAGATTTTATTTTTTCTTATTCTTCTTTTTTATTTTTTTATTTTAATATTGTTGTATTTAGAGGTGGGGGTCAGTCGATTCGGTTCGGTTCTAGATAAGATTTTATCTTTTCTTATTCTTCTTTTTTATTTTTTTATTTTAATGTTGTTGTATTTAGAGGTGGGCATCGTTCGGTTCGGTTCTAAAGAGAAATGAATCGAACCAAAATTTTTGGATATCTAGTAAATGGAATCGTCGGGTCCAAATATAATTATGAAAATGAACCGAACCAAAATTTTTGGGTATCTAATAAATGGAACCGTCGGATCCAAATATAATTATGGAACCATTCGGGTTCGGTTCCGTACTATAATTAAATTTTTTAACATTTATAACAACATTATATAAATACAACTAATGACACATTCAATGGTTTTGGAATGTCAGAGATTAGTAAATTATCTTATTCAAATGATCGCTACGGTCAAAGTTTCGATCGGCGGAGGTTACAGCTTCGATCGAAGGTCACAGCGTTGACTGGTGATTGTATAGATTTTGGAATGTCATGGAGGTTGCGAGAGTGAGTACGAGAGTTGAGACAGCGTTATATACTTTAGTGTAGGTGTTTAGGGTTATTTAGAGGCTTGGATCTTGTTGGGCTAAAAAATGAAACAATAAAATGAGTAATTAGACAAAAAATTAAAAAATTAGAAATTAAACAAAGTATTGGGTCAAAAATTTGAATTTAGAAATTGTTAATTTGTTTAGAAAAAAATTAAAATTAAAATAATTTGATTTATTCAATATAAAAAAAATTAGAAAAATTCGTTTCTTATTTGGTTCTTCGATTCTTGGTCTAGAATCGAGAACCAAACCCTACCCGTCGATTTTCAATTCAAATACCCGTTCGAGTATTTAATTTGATAAGAACCGTAGGGTTCAGTTCAGTTCGATTCGGTTCGAGTTCGGTTCGATCGGTTCGGTTCAGGAGATTTACCTAGCGCTAGTTGTATTACAATAAAATGGAGTTTAACAAGCCAATCTTTACAAATCTTTTTATTCTTTAAATCACATCTAACATCCAGATTTGTAAACTTTCCATCGCTTATTTCATTTAAAATCCTTTTATGATGGGCTTTCTCATCTCTAAATTTGTCGCTAATGTGATTTTTTAACATGTTGCAAGGACAAGGTCTCCAAAGTTCTAGTTGTTCCTAATAATGTCTAATGATGTTGAGTCACTTGATTGAACATTCCCCAAGTATTTTAACTATATGATCTATTGCATGCATAACTTTTTAATCAGCTGTGAAAGGCCTTGTGGGGCTTATGCCTGTTAGTGGGAGAAAAAGCACAGTGTGATACTTTACCCTAGAGATTTCTAGAATAAAAATTTCCTTATTAGGTATTTTTCAAATGTATTAAAACCGTTCCATTCTGCAAGAAAATTTCTTTAACATGATGTTTTCTATTTAGTCCCTGTTTGGTGCGACTTAAAAATTTTGTTAAAAATCAAATGTAAAATCAAAAAGTAATTTTAATCACACATTTATAAGACCCTCAACTTTTTTTAACTATATATTTCATTAATTTTAATCAAAATTTACTAAAATCTGATTTTAACTGTACTAAACTGGCTCTTAATAAATTAGTGTGTCTATTCAAGCTGAAGCCTGCTTTCCTGGGCGGAGGGAGGGGGCGCTTAAGCCAGTTTTTTGGCCTGCCCCGTGGCTTTTTTCATTCAAGTTGCATGGTGTTTTCTGTATTGTATGCTCAGATATATCATACGTTGATGCTTACAAATGGTTTGCAGGTGATTTTTTCAATGAATAGAAGCTTTATTTCAAGTGTCCTTTCACTTGGGCGTAGACTTGATTTATGTAATTAAATTCTGGGATAGCCTGATTTATGTAATTAAATTCTGGGATAGTTCTCTTATTTTTATAATCCTTTCTGTTTTCTATATATCAGAACTTTTGTCCCTTCCTTCTGGCTCTTGATTTCCCAAAATTTATATTAAACTAATGACTGAGGTCCCTGTCATCTAATAAATTAAGGTCCTCATTATTTATTATTGAAAGAATAGAAGGCTTCTGATACTATTGATATTGCTGTATGAAAGAGAAAACGTGTTTCTCCAAAATTGCTACTTAAGGGAGGGTAATCTGGACATTTACCGCATCTTAAGTTGGTGACGTTACGTGGCAGCCCCTGATTCGCTCATACCATATAACTTGGATCTGTGTTTCTTTTGGCCATGCATGGATCGTTCGATTGAACGAACGGTGGAGATGAAAAACAACTTGCCCCTTAGTCTTGCTGATGGATACGGTCGGGAGTGAATTTTTAAGACTTGACCTTTGGTTTTTTCTCCTCTCTCTCTCTTCGTTTTTGGGAGAAATTTTTCTCCCTTTCTTCTTTGGGTCGTATAAACTAGAGATTAGTTATTTCTTGATAGATTATTGTGAATCTGTTGTGCTACAGTAACTTGGGTGCTATTTGTTTGAGTAATATGTAGCATATGTTGTTGTGGCCGGTTTTGGGAGGAAGAAGAGTAGGCGTCCAGATTTGAGATCCTCTTTGGATCGATGATTGATCTGGCTATTTCTATTTGGTTCTGTATGTACTGTACTCTCTCTGGGAGGTAGAATTGCACTAGTGGATTGGGCTGACTCTGAGCCCCCCAGATTAAGCCATTCGGACCGAACTGGGTGAAAATTTGTGCGTGTTCTTTTATTTTTCTTGCACTTTACGTTTGTGTTGTTAAATATTGTTGCCGGTTTAAGGCATAATTCCCTACAAATCTGGTATCAGAGCCACTGAAGCAGTAAGGTAAGGCATATTTGAATACAGTTTGATCTCTTGTCGTATTAACGCGTTTTCTTCCCTTGTACAGAAACAAGAAAGTGAAATCAATCGATCCTTGGAAGCTAGGTCTTCGGTTTCGCACCTGCAGAAAGCTGTACCGGTTTGTTGTAAAATACTGTAGCACACAGTATTTGGTGAAATCTTATACAACTAAATCATATTAGTTGTTCGTTGATATAAATGTTATATCTAATCTGCTATTGTGATTGGTTTATTCAAAGAAATTGAATAAAGACTTTAATTGTGATAGAAGCACGTTTTTAGGAAATTTCATTTTTCAGTAATCTATTTGATTGGTACCAACTGTTCTGGAAATCTAAAATT